TGTTTCCGTTGGACGCATATATGCGCCTATGGTATTCAAAAGATTTTTTGATTGTTATTCATTTGAAATTTCATTTGACATGAATGTTACCTTTGATTTTTTTTAATAGAATCATATGATATATTTTTAAATCCATCAATTTATGCAAATTATTATTCTTTTTATAAAAAAAAAAAAAAATATTACAGAGTACTTGTGATGAGAGAAAATCATTAGTTTAGTAGATATTTTAAATTTGAATATTGATCAGTATTTTATTGGTATTATATTATATATATTTACCTTTACCTATTCATAGTAAGTAGATCATTCAATTTGAATGCATAAAATATCTTTTGTATTAGGTCATTTGGTTTTGTACATTTTTTTACTCTCATTACATTTTCTTTTACCAATACTCTCATCAAACTTATAGATCTATAATATGTCAATTTTTCAAGTCAATTTTTCCAGTCAATTTTTCATATTTATAATATCAAAATCATGTTACAAGAGGAATTTCGTTTAATTTTAATAATCTTAGATACTAATTCATCTATCAAAGTTTATCTACAAATCAATACAAGATTTACAGTATATTATCTTTTACAAAATGAGCTACAATATTTTACAGTCTTTTCAAATTCAAATCTTTTGTAAATTAATAATTTTTATCTCACAATTTTTTTTTTTTTAATACTTTTATACAACAAAATAAAACGTTTCCATAAATTGATGAATTAAAAACCAGATTTTTTTCTATTTAAAAAATCAAAGTTTAACTTTTGAATGACCTTGACGAGTCTACCTAAAAAAAAAAAAAAAAAAGAAAAGAAATTAAAAATATCAAATAATCGTTGAACTTTTGTTTAAAACATTTTGTTCCTATGATGGACAACGAAATACTTTCAAAGATATTTAAGTGGATCGATTATAAATGGGACACCCTGTATATATGTATATAAAGTCGAGTAAGAGTTTAAGGGGTGCACGGTTTAAAGGAAGAACTTATGAAAGAGGAATTATAAGAGCCGTGTGTCAGAACGTCGCGTAAGAAAGTTTTATGATCTCTGTGTGTCATATTTTACTTTGCAAAATTTCCTTTCTCTCTCTCTCTCACACACACACACATACACACACACACACACACACAGAAATACACATACATACATTGTTTAATTAGTTTGACAATGAAAAAATTTTGCATTTATTTTCCTTTCATGGAAAATACTGTCTTCCTTTTCTTTTCTTTTATATTAAATCTCATTGATTTCGTAGTGAAAAAATTGTTTTTTCTTTTTCTTTTGTTTATAAATGTTATACTTTTTTTTGTTAAATATACGATTTTTTAATATAAATTAAAATTAATGGAAGACTATCAAGCATAAATGAAAAATAACATGTAGGCAGATAACATGTGTTAGAAGTGAAACCTTCGAAAAACTAAGTATTGAGAGAATGAGACGAATGCAGAATTATCAGGTGTAGGATAATTATAGGGTTGTTACTTTATAAAAATATTATTATTATATTGTTAACACTTTCGAAAATTAATTTACGTCTTATTAACATATTATACAAAACAAATTACACAGTAGACAAGTTCTCAATTCGAAAAAATGAGACAAGTTGCTTGTGCTAACTAAAAAATGTATGGTAACTAAAAAACTCTCTGCATTCAAGCAGAGAAAAAAACCTTTTCGGAAAAAATCTCACTACTTTTCGGAAAAAACCTCACTACTTTTCGGAAAAAAACTCACTACTTTTTGGAAAAAACCTCACTGCTTTTCGGAAAAAACCTCACTGCTTTTCGGAAGAAACCTCACTATATTTCGGAAAAAACCTCACTATATTTCGGAAAAAACCTCACTA